CGATATTTACCTTCGATATTAATTAGCCAGCTCATCGATTGCCACAAATTCTATTACGTCTGACTTCACACTTCCACACTTCACATCATCCATTTTTAGTCGCCGTCCTATTTTTAGAAATCCGATATAACTGATAAAGTTATAGGCTCTACCTCAAAGAGAGAGCTGGATAGGATTTCTGATATATTTTTAAAAAGGCCATTCTGGCGGTAACGTTCGAAACGACAAAAACAGAAATGGTATAGACGGTGACTCTTTGAGGCAGAGAAATCTCTTTCGAGTTTCCGCGTTAAAAAAATTTTTTCCTTTCCCTTTAGATCCAACATTTGAAAGGCACGACTCGCGTCGGGGCGGGGCGGGGTTGGGAAGCCGTTTATCGAGACGACGACCGGGGTATATATCTAGCGCGCATTGATATGCAAAATTTGTAGTTTCGAGGAACTCACGAGAGACTCTCGAGAGGCGCGTGCACGCGCGTGAGAACGGCGAGTAAACTACAGGATCCTAGGTGTCTCTCGTGCTCCGGCTTTATGACCGGCCTCGCGCCTTCGATGCACGTACGCAGGAGGTATCGGATGTGACCCTCCGGTGTACGAAAGCTCGCTAATCCGCTCCTAAACATTCCCGCACCATTCTCATATCCACCGTAATCTTAAACTTTGATATTATAAAGTCATTGCGTCTGTGATGTAGAATAATAAAAAGTTGGAATATAAACACATCATAAGTTTTGCGGCTTTTCAATATCTTGATGTTTTGATGAAAAATAGATTTATAAGTGTAATTAAAAGCAGATGAGAAAATATATATGTTTTAATAATAACGTGAAATATAATTTACAAGAACAAATTTTTAGTAATTAATTTCATGTTTTTGCTTTTGTGTGTGTGTGTGTGTGTGTGTGTGTGTGTGTGTGTGTGTGTGTGTGTGTGTGTGTGTGTGTGTGTGTGTAGTACTACATTATTACTATATATAACGTAGATACGTATTATTTACTTAGTACGCCATAGTATCTAAGGACGCTACATTGTACGTAACTACAGTAACCTAAATTAGTACTACGTTACTTGTCTACTACGTAGTAGTATGTGTGTGTGTGTGTGTGTGTGTGTGAATGGAAAAGTCGAAGGAAACTGAGAGAAATATCACGAAAGCGTAAGAGTGAACGAGCAAGTGAGGGAGGATGCGGGAGGGGAGTGGTAGTTAATTAGTCCGGGTTAAAAGCTCGGCTTAAATGACCTATTCAGCGCTTAGCATCGAGCGAATTCACTTTGGTAATCCCCTCGACTCCACCTACCCCAGGAAAATCCCGAGGAACACCACGTCGCACGCGCCCACGTCCACGTTATCTTCGTTTCGTACAGATTTAAGCCACTTTTACACCGGGAACTCCTCGTATTGTGCAGTCGAACAGCAAGAAGATTATAATTAAGGAAACGATGTCTTTTACGAGACTTTTTTATTTTAAAAAAAAAGGCTCTCTTTTGGGGCTGCAGAGCGCATTTTCTTACATTTTTCTTTCAAACAAGAAAAATACTTGAAGAAATAACTTTCTTCAGATTTTCGTCCTCGGAATCTTCTCTTTGGGTCTTTAACTCATTCAGAAAATTTAATTCATTTAATTCTTTTTGTGCGATTTCGAAAATCAATGGGGGGTGCGAAGCATCTTTTCTTGAACCTCTCAGCCCTTCAACGACCAGTTCTCCATATCATCATGACTAAATGAAATCTATTAGGAAATGGAAGACGGGGTGCAGTTGCGAGCGAGCGTAATGAAAAATCTTTACGATGACGATGACGAAGCGCAGAGGGGAAGAATTGACATGGCGGATGCAAATGCGATATCGATGGGGTGTGAACGCCAACGGGGTGAAGTTTCGGAAATGACCGAAGCGCGTAATATTTATCATTCAAATGCCAAGGAAATCAGTGGATATCACTTCGTCGGATTATTACTTCAATCCGATTTGATACGTCTGATTTGAGAATTTAGTAAAACTGCAAGTGCATCGAGTGATTCGGCAAGTCAAATTCTCGCTGCTTTTAAGAAAGTATTATGTTTACCGTCGGATAATACGCGCATTCGCATGCAAACGTAATACTTTATCTGAACGAGAGTCTGCTCGTAAGTTGTCCGCGAATAGTTATTTGCACAAAGCTTCTGCAAGTCAGAGTTTTATACGAACTCCGTTCCTCCCACTTCCTCACGAAGCAGAAAATCATATTCAGCGATCCGATAATCGATCGGTCCGTATTTACACCTTTTCCTTCGCCTTCTCATCCGCGTCCGCGTACCACCCCCTCCCTCTCGCACTTCTCCTTCCCCCCTTTTGAGACGCTTAAAAGACGTAGATCTCTTCGTTTTCTTAACTCCATCTCGACCTACTGCTGGAAGTGCAGCGCGAGTTGTTAACCTTAGCTTGTGGTTTAATTACACGGGCAAATATTATCGAACTGACGGAGTTAATTAGATAATTAAAACTTGAAGGGTAAACTACTTTGCGAGCCGAGCGGCGCCCCGGTTTTTGAATATACATGAACGTGTACATGCAGATACCGTCAGTGTCTTCGCTACACGTTGATGCAAGACGGAGGCTCGCAAGCTGATGGCTCCTCCATTGAGGAAACAATTATGAAGAAAAATCGATGCGAGTTCCTTTCTGTTCTTTTCGCGAGATCGTAAATATTTCGTATTTCATCGCGATTGCGTCTATGGAATATTCAAAAATTTTTAAAATTTTTAAAAGCTTTCTAAACCAGTATATAAGTATATAATTTTATTAATTTTTTTTTAGCTAAATTTCCATTTTTTTATAAAATGACATAATGACTAGTCATTGGAAAATATTCCACAAAATATACTTCCATTTTCATAAGATATATCACTATTTATCAAAAAACTAGTCGAGAGGGGAAGGGCGTCCTGTTTCTCTAAGAAAGTTGAGCTTTTAATTAATTATTGATTTATGAAAATCCGAGAATGCTTAAAATTTGCCGATGTATTCGAAAAGTTTCGGGGAGCGTTCGCCAATATTTCCCCTTAATTACTTAACATTCTATGTATTCTGTGACGAACTTATGGGATTAAATAAATTTCGTAATTTCACGTAATTTCACGTAATTTCTCTCGTGATTTACGACTACGTGGCGCCAACGGCACGTTGACGAAGAAATCCCTTTAAAAAGGAGGAATCCAGCAGCCGGAGATCAGCGGCCGTATGTTACCGGCATCATTATCTCCGGTCGGCAGAGCTCTCGGGACCCTCGTCAGAGGGTCGGCGTTTATACCGCGAATCCTCTCTCGGATAAGTGAATCCCCGCAGTCGGACGAGCCGAGTTTAAACGCTTTAGCCCGCGCGATTAGCGGAGGAGACGACTGTGACCGTGATGGACAGGTCAGAGATGCGCGTATATATCATCTTCGAGGCTCTGCGACACGCGAAATTTCGCAGATAACACTCACCGGACATGTCTCCGGAGCGTAAAATATAACGGTGAGCGCGAAGGTGAGCGGTATAATAATTTTTACTTTGCCTCGCCCGGAACAGAGAGCCTCGAAATCCTTTTTTAAGTTATCACATCGAGAAGAGGCTCACGGCGCGAAATTATATTAAGTATATTAAAATATATATACGTTCATCCCGGCGGCTACGGCAGCTCGTTATCTCGAGGCGAAACGACGAATTGTCCTTTTATTTTATTATATTTAAAAAATTTCTCTTGCTCCCGTTTTCGAGATGAATACGGTCGGTGTATCGAAAGACATGACGCTTGACCTGATTTAAAACGAAACGCGGCACGAACGTGGCTCTCCACGTGCATTAGATTTAATACAATTCGGGATTAGATTCCGCATTCCGTGCAAGATGCAACGCTAATTCAAAGTGAGAGGTACGGGCCAATTTACGCGGGTATTACAGATGTGTATTTTGTACAATCGCACCGGATACCGACCAAGTAGCAATCACGACCGCGTTATTATGCGCTCGTCGAGCATATGTTAATTCGCGTAGGAGATGATGAACGCGGCGAAAAGCCACCGTATATACCGGGTATCTCAGTGTTATCGTACCATTCTGTTTCTCAACGTCGAGCAAAATTTATTATTAAAATATAAAATCTATAAAACTAAATTGATAAGATATTATTTATTTAAATTTCTAAATTATAAAATTTTATAAAATTCCAGAATTTTGTACGTTAATTCGCGGCGTATTTTATCATTATCTAATAGCTTAATTATTTAATAAAATGTAATATTTTTGTATAATAAAAACAAGTCGAAGAACGCGACTAAGAGATATAAAGGAAAATTCTGGGACGCCCCGTATACACGTAAAACGTCGCTGATAGGCAAACGCAGTGCCCGATTCATTAAAGTTTACACCGAGGAAAGCTCTCGAGCGCGCCCACAGCAAAGCGCCCGCCTGTACAAACAATTGCAACGAGCTCCCAACTAATCTGGTGTGTCGACGGGAGCTGGTCGACCCACGGGGGGGGGAGTGAAGAGGAAGGGGAAGAGAGGAGCAGTGGGAGATGAGAGCAAAGTAGAATATCAACATCCTCCGCTCGTCCAACTTGAGGAATTCGCTGCGAGCTTTCCGAGATGGTGTTTCGAATGAAATCAAAAGCAACGTGCAATAGAATCGTTCCGACTGACCGAATTTAACTTGAAACGTACGCGTGTCTGAATTTGCAAGAGTTACGCGAAAAGAAGAGAATATTCTGAAGAAAATTCCTTCCTTCTTCTCTCCCTTAAAACGCGGAGTGTAAGCTTGATCAAGCAAAAGTGGCTAAAAATTATTGTTCTAAATTTAAACAATTAGTTCTTGCCTAAATGTCACGGCGGCGTGTTAAATTTTCATTAAACGAGCCAACCTCGCGTTTTCGCAATTTCTTATTCATGATTCACGCTCATTGATATTAGAGATATTTTTGTCGTTCGATATCGCGTGCCGTTCGTTCATCGTAATAATGTCATTTCCTTTCGTCTGTTACAGGCACAAGCGGAAAGTGCAAAATCTACTACCGTGCAAGAGCGCAGCGGGCGCGGCGGCTGTCGCCGGACGAGGCCGCGTACTGCCGGACGGCCAGCCGCATCCGGGCCCCGGCATCGGCGGCGCCGGCGGCGCCGCCGGCGCCGTCCTTTACGAGGACCTCCAGGATCACGCGGTGTCGCACTCGCAGCTGCACAACCACCTGCCGGCGGGCCACGGCCAGGCGCCGACGATCGAGGTACGAAATCCCGAGGCCCAACCGCGGGTCCCCCCGGCGCCACGCGAACCACCGCTGCTACCTGCACGCAGGGAAAAGAGACCGCCGCAGCCGCATCACCTCGACTATCTCGACTATCGCGAC